CGGAAAGAGATCGGGGAGTTTGAGTTGATGGCAGGTTGAATATGAGCCAACAGTGTGCCCTGGCAGCCAAAAGAGCCAACTGCATCCTGGGTCTCATCAAGCACAGCATAGCTGTCTGGCTGGTCGATGAGGTGATTGTCCCACCCTACACTGCACTGGTGCAGCCCCACCTTGAGTGCTTTGTGCAGTTTTGGGCACCTTGATAGAAGGACATCAAACTGGTAGAGTGGGTGCAGGGGAAGGTGAGAAAGACTGTGAAAAGTCTTGAGAGCAAGACTTGGGAGGAGAGGCTGAGGTCACTTGGTTTGCTCAGCTTGGAGCAGAGAAGGCAGAGGGGTGACCTAACTGCAGCCACAGCTTCCTCTTGGGGGGCAGTGGAGGGGAAGGTGCTGATCTCCTCTCTGCTGGAGGACATGAGGAAACGGAGTGAAGCTGCATCAGTGGAGGGGCAGATTGGACATTAGAGAAAGGTTCTTCACTGAGAGGGTGGTTGATCACGGGAACAGGCTACCCAGGGAAGAGGTCATGGCACCAAGCCGGTCAGATTTCAAGGAGTCATGGTCATATGAGTTCTCTTGGTCATATGTTTTAGGTAGTCCTGCAAGGAGCAGTGAGTTGGGCTTGATGATACTTAGGGCTCCCTTTCAGCCTGAGATATTTTGTGATTTTATGAAATGGAGAATTTTCATTTTCAGAATCGTATCTATCTTAATACTACATTTGCCTTTTTCAGATTATGTGATGTATGAACTATGTGTCTATGTATTTTTGCAGATTACAAAAGGTCTTGGGTTTGGATTCTCTGGATGAAGTGTTAGACACAAAACTTGTGAATTCAAAGCATATAGTCCAAAATGTATACAATGTTAATAAGCAAGGCATTGTCACTTTAGAAGACAAATCAAGTGAGTATTATAAGTTTTCATTTAACTTTTCTATATTTTAGTTTAATAATATAGAAAGTATTAGTTCTAATCTTTAGTAATGTGTAGCATTTATAGTATAGATGTAGTCATAAAAGTACAGAGTATGACATACAAAGTAATTTTTGTCATACAAAGTATGACATTGTTGTGCTCTGCCATCCCAATAGTAAAAATTGGTGTTTATTCTTCCGTATTTACCCTCCTAAATGTATTCCTGCTTTAGCAAGGTTGAAAGATGAAGGTGAAAGACCACCACTATCTTTATGAAGATAGCTATATTATTAACTTCAAGCAGGCTTTGTCAGCTCAGCCCTCAACTGCCTGAACCAGAGTGTCTATGTGAGGGAAGTATGTGTTAAAAATCGGGAGAGAATCAAAATGTACACTGAGGGATGCTTAATTTCTCAGTTTTGAGTATTCAGTCAGTGTGTTTTTAAACTAGTACCAAGTTTAAAACTGCTTTTTGCGTATCAGGGAGGAAGTAAAGCATATTTGCTGCTGTGATATATCATTTATTATTGCCACCATGTTTCCACAAGATTTGTAGAGAAATTAAATATGAGATGGGAATCTGGTTTGGTTTGCAAATGAAACCAAATATTCATTTTTAAAGACAATTGGAGCACCTCAAGATAATAACTTCCTCCTTGCAGAAATGACAGAACTGAATGCATGAGTGCTTTCCATAATCTTCAGTGCAAAACACTTCGCTATAATGCACAGGTGAAGGAGTAGCTTGAACTAGTTAGGCTGATTTTTTTTTTTTTTTTTTTACAGGGCATGTTAAGGATTTGTGATACGATCCATTTTGCTAATTAAGTGATAAGAGCAGTGGGCGTAACTAGTTGATATTGAGCACTGGATGTACTAAAGTATAAATGTGATTAAAGCTTAGATCCTACATAAAGTTACAGCCTGCCCCTGCAACCAGCTGATCTACTTTATAGGAGGAAACTTCTTAAAGAATTTTCAGCTTTGCTTTTATCTTGTGGCTTAATGTTTTTTCTCAGGTTCTTTCTCCTTTTGATTTCTCTTTGTTTCTCCCCTATGCAGAGGAACTACCTCACTGGATATTATCAGCAATGAAATGTCTAGCAAATTGTAAGTAAATTCAGGAGGGGGGAAAAAACCCTGTAAAAATCAATTGAATGGACTGTGCCTTTACCGCTCCATCAAACCCAGTTTATATTTACAGTCAGTATTTTCTCTGATCATTGTTTAAAACAAAGTTGGAAAAGATCAGCCAGCATATGTTCTTCTGCCAGTGCTGTTTAACATCTTTGTC